ATTCCACCTCTACAAACAGCAGCAAAGTGTCCACAGAACACCTGGCATCACAGCTATACTCAGCTGTGAGCCCACCCTGGCCCCAGCAGCACAACCCTACACTGTCATCTGAAACAGCAAAGTTACAGGCACCTGAGGTCTCAGCAACTTCCTCTGTGAAACATGTTCTCGAGAAACTTAACAGCTTCTAAGAACATGCCAGGGCAAATGACTTTTGTGACCTGCAAAAGCTTATTTAACATGCAGCTGAGCAACCCTACTTATATTCCATCTAAAGTCCACACCAGTGACACAGTTGCAACATTCCTCCCAGAAGGACTTTACACACTGTACTTCAATACAAAATAACCTTAGATACATGCAACTCAGACAAGGTTTGTTCTCGTTCCAAGAGTACAAGCCCTCCCACATTGCAGTAGTGTATCATTCCAGAAAAAGTTGGTTTGAACAAGCTAAAATACTCAGGCATCCTGGGAAAGTAACGTTAAAAAGCAAACAAAGTGAAATGCAGAGTCAGAAAAAGCATCAGATGTAAGCTAGATAAGCATACTTAACACCCTTTTTGCTAATCTTAAAATTGAGTTACTTTCTGAAGGGTATCAAGAACTTACCCCCCTCCCATCTCCACACCCTGCCCCAGAGTAACTAGCTCCCATCCTCCCAGAAACAGCCCCAACATCTTCTCTATACTACGCACCTTATTCAGTCTACGGTATTTCTGCTAGAAGCAAAAGAAGACAGTTATTTTGACTTAGTACAGCTCGCTTGCATTTGCAGTGACTTTCAGGCAACCGGTTTTTTTTTCATTTAAAAAAATAAAACAAGAACCTGTCTTCATTCCCACTAAAAACAGGAGTTGGAAGATGGGAAGGAATCAGGTTCCTGTGGATACTCTGAGGATGCATGAATTTAATAATTACACCTTGCTTTAATCAGAAACATAATCGGTTTTGCTATGACAAAAAACTAGAAAAGCGCAATGTCCCCACTATGCTTAACACCCACCCCTTAGAACTGAAAGGTACGAACTGCAATTTACTAACACTAGGATGAAGAAGGCAGGAAAAAAGTGCTATTAATACAGCAGATAGAAAGGGTTAAGTTGAATTTTTTTTTTCAATCTTTTCCCCTTAAAACTACATTTTTTGAAACAAAAAGCGCAATCCTCTCACCTGTGAGGATCGTCTTCCCTTCCTCTTATAGTCTTCCACATCTCTCTCTTCCTTCAGAGCAGCCATTTTGGAAGGGAACTGGAACTCGGCCTTTCCTTTAGATCTAGGAAACCTAGAAAACAGGTTGGGTAAGTCAGTACTTACCCCAGCTCCCGTAACACGGGGCCTGCCCTAGCTGCAACCCACCACTGTAGCTTTACAGGACAGGGGAAAGGAGGAAAAAATCTGAAGTGTTTACAACAGCAAAGTAAAATCCTCAGCCTGTTTCGCTGATGATTAAGAAGAGCTGCCAAAGGAACATCTGCTATCCCAGGAAAGCTCAGTTTACAACTGTTGGAATAACTTGGGACAAACTAACGCTAAAATCTGCAAAAAACAACCTGTATCAAGTACAGTCTTACACAGCTACTATGAATACTGACACAAGGCAGGCAAATCCCACCTTGGATACCCACACTCACTCCATGAATTCTATGTCTCTGGATTTTAAGCCCTTAAACATGTCATATTTTGCAAATATTACTGATTAGAATTATCCTATGTGCAACCTACTCCAGCAGTGCAGAGCACTATAGGATGTGTTTAATGTCTTCTGCACTGAAATCTATTTCCCACTAACCTTTCACTGATTCTACCTTGCAACACCAGGAATTTTAACATCTGATCCTGGGCAATCTGTAACACTAGACATCTGCATTACTTCTCCTTCCAAGTTATATATTTGATTACTACTCTGCACTATGTTAAGTGTAACAAAAATGCAGTCTGTTATAAGATAAGCTCAGAGGGTGAACCTGCATCTAAACATTCAAACAAATCTCCTCCCCTTCAGCCCTGAAAGTTTCCTGAGATCATTAAGTTACATGTCTTAACCTAATGTATTAGCATCTTTGGTCACAATTCATCGCTACTTTGGATGTTTCTTGAAACTTCATTACAGTAGCCAAAACAAAATGTCAACTGAAAAACCTATCCCAGTAACACTATCCTTGTGCTGCATTAAAATCATTAGTATGTACAAGATTAGGTGTATTTCTGTGGAGGTTCCTTTATAGTTTTCTTCCTGCAAATACTGCACAGGGAAGGCAGGCAGGTCTCTAGTAATGACCAGTATGTGCTGTTAGTCAGAGCAGAAATTATTATTCACTGTAATTCCATGTTAAAATCCAGCTTCAAATTAAACTATGAAATCACCTGTGTCATGACTTAACACACTAACAATTTTAAAGGGTTTATTAAGTAACACCAGAGTGTTTGTATTACCTTCAGTTCCGCTCTAGAGTGTTAAACCTGCCCTTAAAATCCTATAAACCAAATATCATTTGCCTTGGGAGGTATTAGGATATAAGTGGTTCAACTGAGCAGTTCTTTAACTCATACAGGGGAGGTGTACAACAATGTTAACAGTTCAAGGGCTTTCTGTCAACAAAACTTTGGGAACTGCTAGGGAAGAAAGCCATAAACACTTTTTTTAAGTAATAAGGAGTGTGCAATCCCTCTCTGGGTTTGTCACCTACTGCTCTGCCCAGTGAGACTCTGTGTTGGCCAACATAAAGCTCTAGGGCATTGTCTTTGCCCTCGTGGGCTCTGAAGGCTGTGATAGTCCAAAAGCAGTTGTCTTCTGGCACTGTCAGCTGAGATGGACCAGCCCTGCTCAGCCCTATACCTCAAAGAGAGTTGTTAGAAAAAGCTGAGAGTATTAGACTTAATTATCACCACCAAAATACTCTACTCACAAAAATATTCAGAATATCTTTAGTACTAAATGCTAGTTAAACCAGCACTGAAACATTCAAACTGCAACTTAACTGCAGAACTGAAAGTAGTCTCAAAACAAATCTCTTAGTTATGATGAGAAAAAAAGTCATGGACACGCCTCATTACTCAAAGGAACTTGCTGCATCTCTTAGAGGAGTCAAGAAGCTAACAGAGGTAAAACAGACATTCCCAAGCTGGAAGTTTACCTGTCCAAACAGAGAATACTATGGAAATGTGTTGGGTCTTTTCTGCAAATAGATGAAGTTGGACCTAAAGTGCTTACAGCAGTATTTCGTACCAAATCTAAATGTTAAAGCAGGAAAACAACTGGATTTCAGCTCTATGTATGCTGGTAGTTTACTCCCAATGCCAACAGGATGTCTGCTGGGAAAAAAGACAAGATATTAGCTTAAAACTTTGTATGCTGGATTTCCAAGCTTTACTGCAGCAAGTTCAAATCCTCTGAACACATCATCCCTCCAAACTGTTAAACCCTGAAGCAGCTAAAACAATTGCTCACATGGAAAAGTTATTTTTAGCTGTTTTGCTCAGGGATCCAGTTTCTTCTCTGCTTTTAATGTAGGGACAAAAACTAGTGTGACCTGTTGGTTTCTCTGCTCTCAATTTTATAAGGTTTCAGCTTGTAACGAAGAGAGTAAAGATAAAAAAACACCACATAAAAAAACCCGGCAGTTTTTGCTCACTTTACTAAAAAAGACTTGAGCAAAACCCCTTTAAAATTTTGAGGAAAAAAGAGCAAGGGGGGAGGTCTATCATGACTATATCCCTCCAGGTAGGACAGGGATGATGCTCTAGTTTGCATTTGTTCTTGGCTTCATCCAGGCTGAGGAAATCTGAACCAAGGCTCGTGCAGGAGGCCTCATGTTGCCCACCAGGATCGTGCAGTGGCTTCGAGCATGTGTGGGTTTTGGGGAGTGCAGAGACCTGTGCTGTGCCTTCCCACAACTCCCCGGGCAGCAAGAACTCACTGCTCGTATTAAGCCCGGTGGGGAAGGGGTGAGGGATATCAGGGAGGTGCTGCAAACTGTACCAGCACTCTTCAGCCTGGAGAAGTGAAAGTTGTGTGGAGACCTCATACCAGCCTATCAGTATCTGAGGGGGCTCCAGGGGAGCTGGAGAGGGACTTTTTGTTAGGAACTACCATGACAGAACAAGGGCTAACAGGTTCAAATTGAAGAAAACTTAAGACTAAATATTAGGAGAAGATTTTTCCTGTGAGGATGATGTGACATTGGCACAGGTTACCCAAGGAAGTAGTGGATGCCCCAACCCCGGCAGTGTTCAAAGCCAGGCTGGATGGGGCCTTGGGCAACGCGGTCTGGTGTGAGGTGTCCCTACCCAGAGCAGGGGGTTGCGACTAGATGATGTGTAAGGTCCATTCCGACCCCCAAAATTGTATGATTCTTCAAAGGCCAGTGCTCTGTATTAAATACTTTAACGCTTTCAGAGCCTGTTCCGAGGAAAAGGAGCGCGAGGGGGGGGAGAGCGCCAGGAGGGACCCAGGGAGAGCAGGACAATGCCCCTTGCACGTGCGGGACTCGCTTCTCCCTACCCTCACCCCAACGCACGTGTGAATTTTCCCGCGAATCTCTGAGCAGAGCTGTACCTCCCCCAGCCCTAAGGCC